GTCAAGGCACCCTTTAAAATAATGGACACTTTCAAGGTACCCTCAAAAATAATGGACAGTCCCGAGGCACCCTTTAACATTTTGGACAGTCTTGATGCACTCCATTCTATATGTAAAAAATGATTCTAATAGTTTTATATAACGCAGTAACATCCACATATGTAGGACATGTTAGAGGTGATTTTTTCCAAAGTAAATCAATTTTTGCACAATGGTACTAACTAGTATTCAAGTGTTTCTCTTCTCCCTCAATTTTTCTCCATCACTGAACTACTGTGACTCCAGCACTGATGGAGAGGGGCAGGGGAGGGTCGATCTAAGGTGCTGTGCAGGCAACCGACATCCTCCTTATCAACTGATGATGTCATTGGTTGTCAGAATGCTGGTGGCTTGAAGGTCGTACTGGTGTACATTGACAACCTGTGGCTTTGTGTAACTAAAAGGCAGGCTTGTTTCACCTGCTGGCTTGTATACAAGATTTGGGCAATTTTTCAACATTTTGCCAAGGCTTGGGCACCTTGGTTTAAAAAGGCTGCTGTAAGGGTTACCTGCTCGTTTTACTTACCCAATCACAGTTACATACACGGGAGTAGATATTAGGCTTTAATATATGCTTCAATAATAGCCTAGTTTTTGCATTAGGTATTGTATTGGACTGCCAGGGCTGCATTAGGAAGCCCAGTCAATACACATATGGCCATCCTATGGCTAACAATAGACTTGTATAAATAATGTTTTCTTAAGACTTGTATAAATGCATGTTTTCTTAAGTTAAAATGAACTTGTGTTCCATCAGCGAGCAGGGACCTTTGTGTACTGAAAAAGAATAGACCTATTATTCTAATAGAATTAACGTGTTTGGTGTCTGCAGATAAAGTCTAGCCCGATCTCAGGCGCGACATGGCTCAGTTACAGCTTAGTACCAGCACATAGTCACCTCTGGAGGGATATGCTGGGAGTTTGGGATTTCATTCGACATTCCTGTCTATCTGACCTTGAAGATGAAGTTCTCTGACTTGGCACTTACAGGGCACAGGTGGAAAACATTAGCACTTGCTAGACATCCCTACAGTCCTTGAAGGTGTTTTCCTTGCATTTGTTAGACTACAGATGGCTTCGGTTAACTTAGAAGATTAATTTGTTTAGTTAGCGACCCCTTTCAGGCAAACAGTTTTCTTTGTCTGTTGTATATAATAAAATGAAGGAAAGGCATGCAGGTTTGTCTTCCAGCTGAATTAGAGCTTTCAGTTGTCAGACACCTGGATGAAACTTGATTGCTCACGGGTAACTGGTATGTGGGGGGAACATTATTATGGGGGGAATATTATAGTGTAACAGGACTGAGGGATATGCGAACATTGCATTTTTGCATAAATAATTCAAGTCTAAGACACCCCTTAGAATTCCGATGTGCCTCCACTTGATAAATGTCGATTTAGGGAACATGAATCTGGGGCACGCATCACAGGTAGAGACGCACGAAGACCAGAATGCCTATATGGACAGTGCAGCGGCAGGGGGATTTGTATTTGGGGAGAGGAACCTAATGGGGATTCACAGACTCTAGTTTCCAATCAGGTCAGCTCCCTTTGTGATTGACAGCAGACAGTGGGCAGATATAGATATAGAACCCTTGCACTGCCTGCTGTCAGTTAGGGCCAAGTCACACTGACTTGAGCTAAAATGTAGGAAAATGGATGTACATTTCCATCCATTTTAGTCGTTGGCTGATATCCATTGACATACAATTTGACATCCATTTTAATTAGGATTGCCACCTCATCTCTTTAAATCCAAACAAATATTAATTATAAGGTTCTGACGCTAATTTAATGCAGATAATGCAAGTGAATTTATTTACCACCATAGTCAGCCACATAACCTGTGTAATTAATATGTGTTCGGGTTTAAAGGAATGAGGTGGCAATCCTAGTTGACTTACATTTTGATGTCAGTTGGCATGCATTTTAGCACTTGTTAAAGCATACTGCATTTTCACAGGATATATTGTGCATTGCATTGACATCTTCTTACATCCGTTGTGCTGCGCTAAAATGCATACATGTTGTATTTTAGCGCAATGCAGGTCAATGCGTTATGGTGTGAATAGCATACATTGGAAATGATTGTTTTTCAGATGTCCTTCCAATGATCTGAATTTTAGAGCTGCGCTAAAACACAGATCAGTGTACTGGTGTGAATTGGCCACTTTATGGGGAACTAGTGTCTCAGCTTTCCAATCCGCTCTGCGCACTGCAGCATCACTGGTTGCAAGGAGGCTATCGGCGCTGAAACTGACAGCCTCCCTAAAGTGGTTGTAAACCTCATGCATGAAATATGAACAAAGCATATCCCTCTATAGTATGCACTTGTCATAATTAGGAGTGCTAAGTGTCATATCTGTCTGCTTATTTGTTCTTGTGCTATCAGCATGAGCCGCTTCTGACAAGTTTTCCTGACACCAAGAAAAAAATGGCGATGGGGAGGGAGCTCCAGCAGATTGACATCCTCAACTCTGTTCCTGTGAGCTGAGTAGAGGGGGATGTGTCCTTCCCCTCCAATCAGCTCTCAGAGCTTTCTTCACTTAGCTCTCCAGTGTGTAATTTTAGCTCTCCACTCCCTTTTTTTGTGAACTCTCAACAGGTATAACTTATGTAGGAGGATTTGTCATATCTGTGTATCACCTGAGGCCAGTCACTTCACTGGGTATATGTAAGGGTTTACAACCACTTTAACAACCAGTAATAGGGAGAGGGTACCAGCAGCAAATACACCACTCTGGTACTCTGCATACAGGAACAGGCACTCTGCCTGTCTCTGTACACCAACTAAAAGTAGGTCTTAGATACGTCCAGTTTCGTTATCTATGAACTGGAAGTAATTGTTTTTGAATTTGGCACATTAATATAGGCACTTTGGAACAGTTTCACTATTAAGAACTACCTGAATCTATCATGTGTGTCAGTAAAGTTACTGAGAGGGGTGGACGGGATTTTATAAAATCTGTCACATCCCATTTTATAGGGCCATATCACCATAAAAGTGGTGCTTTATTGAATTCCCCGATTATACTAATTTTACGTAAGTACTGTTGTAAATGCAGTATATTTTGAAAGCAATTACTACTGAATCAAAAAACACAAGGACTCCTTGGTCCAGCCAGCCATGTACCTGGGATTCTTTCTACGGTATGGACACTTTGGGGTTTATTTACTAAAGCTGGAGAGTCCAAAATCAGACTCCCTTCTGCATAGAAACCAGTCAGCTTTCAGGTTTCATTGCCAAAGCTTCATTGAACAAGCTGAGGTTAGAAGCTGATTGGTTTCTATGCAGAAGGGAGTCTGATTTTGGACTCTCCAGCTTTAGTAAATAAACCCCTTTGTGTTGGTTGTTTATAACACATATTGAACTGTGATTATATATGCACAATTGCCTTTGTATGGTTCAGTATATCTAGATTGTTTTTTTTTTTTTTATTGATCATCTAGCACAGCTATAAATGTACAACTAATATTTTGATGAACTGTGGTGTAGGATAGCTGCAGCTTGAATTAATTAATATTTATTACTTTTATTATTATTTTGTGTCAAATAAATTTTTTTTATCTGTGGCGCGGGTTTGTAGGATTTTTAGTTATCTGAGATTCTCACCTTGGACAGCTGACTGCTTGGGCCCAAAGATTATTAGAAGATGAGTGGCCCATGGTAGAATGAAAGTGTGTTTCTTGAACCATTTTATACAAACTATTTCTATGTCCATTAATCATTTTAGTTCTACATTGGTAAAATATGTAAAAAATTTGGCGACCCTCCAACCTCTCACTGCTGGTCCTCCTTTGCCAAAACAAGTGTTGCCCTGGGGGTGTTTATCCCCTTGTTAGCCTTCTGCTGCTTGTGATCCTAACAAATAATATAGAAAAACCCAGGTGCATTGGTTGCGATTTAACTTTAGCACACATCAGTGCATTATGTGGCTTTTTGAGAAAGCAGTACATATTGCATGATACAAATTTGTACCAGAAATAAATAAGTAAAGTTTACTCGTCTGTATGGCTTGCCTTAGTTACTTTTCTGCTTAGATGCTTGGAAGGACCTCAGATTCAGCAGTGCTTTGGGCAAGAGCTCTATATTTTTTGACATATGTAGTAGAGGTGATGTGGCTCTTGCATAGTGTGCTATGTAGGGTAAATATGGCGAAACAAATAAGAGCCAAATTCTCTGATGGTGTGTAAGATTGTCCACAAGCTGCAACTACTCCGTGTTAAATATAGGCATGGTGCATTTTTTTATTGCAACTTCTGCTGCAGGTTGACAGCTAATGACCTACCTAAATGCAGGATTTTTAAACCTTGTCACAGCCTCACAGAAATGGGGCAGCCATACGTAATGCAAGTATTTAGGCCATCCTCACAATACACTGTGTGCACAATTATTAGCAAGTTGTAATTTTGAGGATTAATTTCATTATTTAAAAACTACAGTGCTCTCATTAACCGCTAGCCTACAGGGCACTTATACCCCATTCCTGCCCAGGCCAATTTCCAGCTTTCAGCGCTGTCGCACTTTGAATAAAAATTGCGTGGTCATGCAACATTGTGCCCATATGAAATTTTTATCTTTTTTTTTGTGACAGATAGAGCTTTATTTTGGTGGTATTTAATCACCTCTGGGGTTATATATTTTTCTTAAACAAACCAAAAACCACTGAAAATTTTGAAAAAAAAAAAATTTTTTTCTTAGTTTTTGTTATAAAATTTTGTAAGTAATTTTTCTCCTTCACTGATGTGCTCTAATGAGGCTGCACTGATGGGCACTGATAGGCTGCACTGATGGACACTGATAGGTGGCAGTGATGGGCACTGATGAGGAGGCACTGGTAGGTGGCACTGATGGGCATTGACAGGCATCACTGATGGGCACTGAAAGGCAGCACCGATACATGACACTGATAGGCAGCACTGATAGGCGGCACTGACTGGCACTAATAGGCGGCACTGACTGGCACTGATAGGCGGCATGGGCTGGCACTGTTAGGCAGCACTGACAGGCTCGGTTAGGCGGCACTGATGTGCACTGATAGGCAGCACTGACTGGCACTGATAGGCGGCACTGACTGGCACTGACTGGCACTGATTGGCAGCACTGATAGGTGGCACTGATTGGCATTGATAGGTGGCACCGACTGGCACTGATGGGTGACACTGATGCAGCTCAGATGGGCACTGATATGTCGCATTGATGTGCACTGGTAGGCACTGATATGTGGCACTGATGGGCACTGGCACGAGGCACTGATGAGCACTGACATAAGACACCGATGAGCACTGACAAGACACTGACAGGTGGCACTGCTGGGGCTACACTGATCATCAGGGCACACTAATCATCAGTGCTCTGATGATCAGTGTACATGTCCCCTCCGCGGAAAGCTGATTACCGGCTCTCCTCTCCTCTCGAGCTGTCAGTGTGACAGCTCGTGGGGAGAGAAATGCCGATAACCGGCATTTCCCTGTTTACATGTGATCAGCTGTGACTGGACACAGCTGATCACATGACCAAGCCGACATCTTCGGTGATCCGCTGTGTCCGAGGGACACAGAGCACTGCCGTTCGCTGCACTGCGCGCTCCCTGAGCCGCGCATGCACAGTGAGAATGGGAGGACATCATATGACGTCCTCCCAGAACGAGAGAACCACCTTGCGCCCGTCATATTACTATATGGCGGGCGGGAGGTGGTTAAATCCAAAATGTTAATAAACCTCAAAACTGAATATTTAAGAACGTAAAATGAGGTTTTGGCTTTCTTAGGAGAATATCTATGTAAGCACAATTATTGGGCAACTATTAGCCGCTTCCCGACTGCTCTATAGCAGATATACTGCTACAGGGCGGCACGGGTGTGCAAAATCACGTATATATATGCGCGCGCCCTACCTACGCCGCCATTCACTGTCAATCACCAGGTCCCAGCTGGTGATTACTTGCCAGCACCCGGTGATTGCCGAACATCTCCGACGGGGAGGAGAACTGTTTGTAAACAAAACAGTTTTCCTCCCTGTCAGCTCGTGCACAGTGCTTTGGATGGCTGTGCTGTGCAGTGTTATTACAGTGAAGCACTAACACATGGCCCCATAGTAAAATACACCCAGCACACAGTTAACCCTTTGCTCACCCCAGATGTTAACCCCTTCCTGCCCAGTGCCATTAGTATAGTGTCAGTGCTTTTTTTAGCACTGATCACTGTATTGGTGTCACTGGGGATGTCAGTGACACCAAGTCAGTTCCCCCCAGTGTCAGAATGCCCACCGCAGTCCCACTATAAGTCGCTGATCACTGCCATTATTAGTAAAAAAAAAAAAAATTCCAGTATCTATACTGACATTTGTAAACGCTATAACTTTCAAGTACAGTGCAAATAATAAAAACCGCATAGGCGATCAAATACCACCAAAGAAAGCTCAATTTGTGGGGGGAAAGAGCATGTAAATTTCATTTGGGTGCAGCTTTCCATGACCACGCAATTGTCAGTTAAAAAATAAAGCAGTGCTGTAATGCAAAAAATGGCCTGGTCAGGAAGGGGGGTAAATCCTCTGGAGGGCAAGTGGTTAATGTGTAGAATATTAAAACCAAAAATTTTCCATTTCACTTGTTTATTTTCATGTGTTAAAGTGAGAATAATGGACAAAAAACTCATTTATTTCTAACATATATATCAAATATTTCTAACATTTCAAAAAAACGTTCCATCCCTCTCTGCAAATCCCTCCACTAGCTTCCCATTGCCCAACGAATAAAATTCAGAACATTAACAATAACATATAAAGCCATTTTATAACACTGCCCCAAATTACATCACCAATCTTGTCTCCAAATATCACCCAAACCATACTCTCCGCTCCTCCCATGACCTCCTGGTCTCTAGCTCCCTTGTCTCCTCCTCCTATGCTTATCTCCAGGACTTCTCGAGAGCCTCCCCCATCATCTGGAGCTCTCTACCCCAATCTATTCGATTATAACCTACTCTGCCCACTTTTAGGCGATTTATGAAAACCTATCTCTTCAGGGAAGTCTATCCTGGCTTCAGCTAATAACGGAATCTTCTATTCCTCCTATCAGTTCATCCACCACAATTATTACCTTTTGTACCACCAGCCCTTCCCTCTTAGATTGTAAGCTCCAAGGAGCAGGGCCCTCCTAACCCTCTTGTATTGAACTGTGTTGTTGCTGTATTGTCTCCATTTATATTGTAAAGCACTGAGCAAACTATTGGCGCTATATAAATCCTGTATTATAATAATAATAATAATGTCATCCCATTCTGCACAATCTGGTGTAAAATATATTTGACATAAATTGATATTTGATGCATCTCTCAGCAGATGTATTTCATTGCAAGTTCTCTTTGGCCTTCGTAGCCTCCCTGGCGGTATTCCCGAGTGTAGCTCGGGGTAAAGTTTCAGTACCACAAGCGGTAACCCCGAGCTACACTCGAGCTTACCATCCGGCACTACTCCGGGATCTGTTCTTCTCTTACCTTGTCCTGCGCTCCCGCGATGTCCCTCCTGCAGTGTTCCCTGTATTGTCCTCCGGCGGAGGGTTCCGTCCCCTGCGACATCGGGACGTACGGGGACGGAACAGTGGGAAATTTGAAAATGACAAAAAGTGACATTCACTAAATTCACTAAAATCACATAGTAAAACATTACTGTATCAAACCATTTCACATACATTTTGTCCCGAGTGCTTTGTCCTGTGCCCTGCCTACATTTTTACTGTTCTTTCTGCCTGGAAACTGAGAAACGTCCATGGCATTCAAAAAGCGTCCCTTTAGGTCAAAATCAGTTTTAGACCAGCTAGAGAACAGCGATAGTAAATTAGAACTACTTGCAGAATTGAGTGATTGATAATGATTCGTGGGGAAATTCGTCATCAGACACTGAAAATGATTTTGCGACTTTGCTCAGTGATGTGTGAACTTAAATCCTTTCAGAACTTTTTCCACCTTTAATGTGACCTATAAACTGTACAACTCAGTTGAACAACAAGCTGAAATCTTTTAGGTGGAGGGAAGTAAAAATAAAAAACTAAAATAATATGGTTGCATAAGTGTGCACACCCTTCAACTAATACTTTGTTGAAGCCCCTTTTGCTTTTATTACAGCACTCAGTCTTTTTGGGTATGAGTCTATCAGCATGGCACATCTTGACTTGGCAATATTTGCCTACTCTTCCTTGCAAAAACACTCCAAATCTGTCAGATTGCGAGGGCATCTCCTGTGCACTGCCCTCTTCAGATCATTCCACAGATTTTTGATCAGATTCAGGTCTAGGCTCTGGCTGGGCCATTCCAACCTTCAATCTTCTGGGGAAGCCATTCCTTTGTTGATTTGGATGTATGCTTTGGGTCGTTTTCATACTGAAAGATGAAGTTCCTCTTCATGTTCAGCTTTCTAGCAGAAGCCTGAAGGTTTTGTGCCAATATTGACTGGTATTTGGAACTGTTCATAATTCCCTCTACCTTGACTAATTCCCCAGTTCCAGCTGAATAAAAAAAAGCCCCAAAGCATGATGCTACCACTACCATGATTCACTGTTGGTATGGTGTTCTTTTGGTGATGTGCAGTGTTGTTTTTGCGGTAAACATTATGGAATTATGGCCAAAAGGTTCAGCCTTGGAAACCAGACCATAACACATTTTCCCACATGCTTTTGGGAGACTTCAGATGTGTTTTTGCTAAATTTATCCGGGCTTGGATGTTTTTCTTCCTAGGAAAAGGCTTCTGTCTTACCACTCTACCCCATAGCCCAGACATATGAAGAATACAGGAGATTGTTGTCACATGTACCACACAGCCAGTACTTGCCAGATATTCCTGCAGCTCCTTTAATGTTGCTGTAGGCCTCTTGGCAACCTCCCAGACCAGTTGTCTTCTCATCAATTTTGGAGGGACGTCCAGTTCTTGGTAATGTCACTGTTGCGCCTTATTTTCTTCACTTGATGATGACTGTCTTCACTGTGTTTCATGGTTTATCTAATGCCTTGAAAATTCTTTTGTGCCCTTCTCCTGACTGATACCTTTTAACAATGAGATCCCTCTGATGCTTTGGTAGCTCTCTGCGGACAATGGCTTTTGCTGTAAGATGCGACTAAGAAAATGTCATGAAAGATCAATTAGAACAAATTAACTTTATCAGAGGCGCTTTAAATGATGGCAGGTGTGTACAAACTCCTATTTAACATGGTTTTGATTCTGATAGCTTAATTCTGAACACAGCTACATCCCCACCAGGATGTGCACACTTATGCAACCACATTATTTTAATTTTATGTTTACTTCCCCCTCTAAAAGATTTCAGGTTGTTTTTAAATTGAGTTGTACAGTGTATAGGTCACATTAAAGGTGGAAAAAGTTCTGAAATGATTTATCTTTGTCTCATTTTTTTACATTACAGAAACCTGACAGGGGTGTGTAGACTTTTTATATCCACTGTATACTGATATGGACTGGGTAATGTGTTAGGAACGTAAAGATGCCCCATGGTTTAATGGAAATGAAAATGATCAACTATCAGAGGACTGAATTCAAAGACACCACGAAAATCAAAGTGAAAAAATTATGCAGCAGGCTAGTCCATTTTGCTGAAATTTCATTGCAGCAATTCAAAATGGTACTCAGTAGTATGTATGGCCCCCATGTGCTTGTATGTATACCTGACAACATTGGGACATGCTCCTATTGAGACGACGGATGGTGTCCTGGGGTATTTACTCCCAGATCTGGACCAGGGCATCACTGAGCTCCTGGACAGTCTGAGGTGCAACCTGGTTGCATCGGATCGACTGAAACATGATATCCCAGAGGTGTTCTATTGGATTTAGGTCAGGCAAACATGGAGGCCATTCAATGCTATCAATTTATTCATCCTCTAGGAACTGCCTGCATACTCACATGAGGCCAGGCATTGTCGTGCACCAGGAGGAACCCAGGACCCATTGCACCAGTGTAGGGTCTGACAATGGGTCCAAGTATTTCATCCCGATACCTAATGGCAGTCAGGGTGCCATTGTCTAGCCTGTAGAGGTCTGTGCGTCCCTCCATGGATATGCCTCCCCAGACCATCACTGACCCACCACCAAAACAGTCATGCTGAATGATGTTACAGGCAGCAGAACGTTCTCCACAGATTCTCCAGACCTTTTCATGTCTGTCACATGTGCTCAGGGTGAACCTACTCTGATCCGTGAAAAGCACAGTACACCAGTGGTGGACCTGCCAATTCTGGTGTTCAATGGCAAATGCCAATCAAAACTCTATGGTGCCGGGCAGTGAGCACAGGGCCAAGTAGAGGACATTGAGCCCTCAGGCCACCCTCATGAAGTCTGTTTCTGATTGGTCAGAGACATTCACACCAGTGACCTGCTGGACGTCCTTTTGTAGGGCTCCGGCAGTACTCATCCTGTTCCTGCCTGCACAAAGGAGCAGATACCGGTCCTGCTGATGGGTCAGCTCTGGCTCCCCTAGAGTAACTGCTTGTCTCCTAGAATCTCTTCCATGCTCTTGAGACTGTGCTGGGAGACACAGCAAACCTTCTGTCAATGGCACATTTTGGTGTGCCATCCTGCAGGAGTTGGACTGCCTGTGCAACCTCTGTAGGTTCCAGGTACCGCCTCATGCGACACTGACCCTAGCCAAATGCAAAACTAGTGAAGAACAGTTAGAAAAGATGAGTAGAGAAAAAAATGTCAGTGGCCTCCACATGTAAAACCATTCTTGTTTTGGGGGTTGTTTCATTGTTGCCCATCTAGTGCACCTGTTGCTAATTTCATTAACACCAAAGCAGCTGAAACTGAATAACAACCCCCTCTGCTACTTAACTGACCAGATCAATATCCCAGGAGTTTAATTGACTTGTTCCTTTAATTTTTTTGAGCAGTGTAGTAAGAGAATAGGCATGCCCTAAGCTCCTAAGCTGAGTACACACCATTATTTATTTTTTCTCATTCAACTTGGATCCACGCAAAGGATGTGGATGTAGGAATCCTCCCCCCTTTGCAATTGTATTCTGATGGGGGGCTCCTCTGCTGTTGAAATACACTGATCAGTGCTGCAGCCAATTGGCTTAAAGCCACTGCTTGAAGGAGATTTTCCAGCAGGTTTGATCATCAGAAGCAGATCTACCAACCAGCTTCTGTTGAAATGGGAGGGCTACACACAGATTGGAGTTTGACCTTTCCCTGCTGAACCACCCAATTTTCAATTCAAGTATACCCAGCTTTAGTCTCTGGGTAGAGTGATCAAACCCTAAAGCCGGGTACACACAGGTAGTTTTTTTTTTTGTCCAACCCAGCTTGCTAACAATGCACTGTCCCCTCTGACCTATTGTGTTCTGACAGGGGGACCACTTCCCCCCTTCCGGCAGAACACACCGGTCAGCTCTCACAACCTTTCCGGCATTCCTGTTCAACAGAAGCCGAACGTTAGGCTGGCTTCTGTTGGACCAACCAATAATGGCCCATATTTGGCCCATGTGTACCAGCCTTAAGCACTGTATTGTGGAATGCAGTGCAGGGGCGTGCCGAGGATCCCACTGTCAGGAACCCAAATCTTGTCCATAAAATGTTCTACTGGCATTCCAGGATAGTTACAACTATGTACTTTCAGTTTAAAAGTGCATCAAAACAAAAAGTGTTCAAAGCCTTCATTTGTACGGCTGTAAAAAAATGTGCTTACAGGCTTCATTGACACCAAGTCAGTTCCCCCTAGTCCCGCAGTCCCACTGTAAGTTGCTGATTGCTGCCATTACTTGTAAAAATTTAAAAAAATTAAGAAATCCCAGTATATATACCGCCATTTGTAATAACGCTATAACTTTCATGTAAACCAAATAATTTACACATATTGGGATTTTTTTTTAGCAAAGACAGGTAGCAGAATACATTTTGGCCTAAATTTATGCCAAAATTTGATTTACATTTTTTTACCGGACATGTTTAATAGCAAAAAGTCAAAAACATTGTTTTCTTCTCAAAATTGTCGGCCTTTTTTTTTTGTTATAGCTCAAACATGAAAAAACCGCACAGGCGATCAAATACAACCAGAAGAAATCTCAATTTGTGGGAAAAAAAGGACTCAAATTTCATTTGGGTGCAGCGTTGCATGACCACGCAATTGTCAGTTAAAGTAACGCAGTGCTCTAACACACAAAAAATGACCTGGTCAGGAAGGGGGATAACTCCTCTGAAGGGCAAGGGGTTAAAAAAAAGACTTTAGTATCACCTTAAAGTTTGTCTTTTTTTCTAAAGCAGCCAAAGCATTAGAAAAACCTCTCCCCTGTCAGCATGCTGCTGAGGGTGACCATTGCTCTCTGTGGGAAAACAGTGGTCTCTCTGCCAAGTTCCAGCAGGCTCTCCAGTCAGCGGGAGCTTGAGTTTTGCTGATTGCAGTAATAGGTGTGACTGAGCAGGGGTGTGTTGGATCCTCACTGATTTCTCACAGAGCAATTGAGAATTTGTGGTCCTTCTTTGTTAACACATTTGGTCCAGGGGGTACTTTTCTTCTTGTTAGCCATCTCCTGTTTGTGATCTGTTGACAAATGATTGGCAGGGCTATGGCTCACCCTTTTTTTATGCACCTGGAATGTATTTTCCTGATTTAAACTGAAAGCCAGGCTTTAAAATGTTCTTATGGTTTGCACTGACCTGTTGTCTGCACTTATGTGACAGTTTTTT